AATGAGGTGATAAAACGTTTAGGAGCATTTACCTTGCCTACTTGTCATTCCTAACAGCTAATAATAGAACACAACTGTTCTTAACAAGTACTTGCAAGACCTGGATTCTCCTGGCAAGGACGTTTTCGATTACAGTGTTCCTACCCTAACGTGTCTTTATCTTGAGAGTAAATACCGTTTTACCAGCATGGCATGTACCAGCTGCGGAAATAGAAGAGGGACTCATAAGACGCGGGATAGTAATCAGTTCATCTTATCGGTACGAGAACAAAGGACAGAGGTGGCTTGTTCTGCCCCTGGGAGCGACCCATTTAGCCTAATGTAGTAAGGACCCCTGGACATTTATTAAAGTACATTTATCAGCGACGGACTTAGCGTGCCGAGGGCGGTCGAGCGTACCCTGATCGATAGCATAAGGTTCCAAGTCGACCACTGACCCCTTTCTTTACTTCTTATAGGCCTACTCAATACATACTTCCCTCCCAGTTGTGTGTCACTGATATTTTCAGACTTACAAGCAACGAAACGATTTGTTATAATTTGATGAATCCCTATCATACAGCCTTGTGTCTCTGAAATGAAGTTGGAGAATAAAATAACCCGTGAACGTTTCGCCAATCCAGGCAGCATCAGGATAGAGAATTTTCTAATCAGATCCATTTGGATAATCTGAATAGGAAATTCTTTCTCATGAAGATACTTGAATTAGCGAAACGTTCACATGATATTTTATTTTTACTGGAAGAAAGACAAAGGAACACAGCTTAGGAATATTATAATTATAGATATGATACATCAGTTGTTTGATTATAATCTTCCAGTAAGCGATTGGATATCATGATGTGAAGTGATCTTGGTTTCTTATCTTTTCCGTCCTGATGATGCCTGAATTGGCAAAACGTTGACGGATTATTTTACTCTTTACCTGTATTATAGATGGTTAATACATGGTTGGAATAATTTCAATTATAACCCAATAGTACTAATAAAACTTTTTTGGACAATCGAGGTACAACTACGATGAAGCAACTATGATAAAGCAGATATTCAAATAATACATTCGTACCATTAAACTAATTGCAATAAATAGTGAGCATGCCCTTCTTCGCCACAAATGAATAACATAAGGATTACTTACAAAATTATTGTCGGCTCCACGGGAAGTCGAGGGGCTTTTACATCAAAATTGAAAAATAATATATTTTTTTTCCAATGACTAATGTCCATAATTTTATAGGCCTTTAAGGACTATTAAGCATCATTTTATAAAGCTTCATTATTTTCTTCAAGGATAATTACCGCTATAAAAAAAAATACTGATTCTGCTTCTGAGGGACATCCGGTTGATTTCAAATAATGCCATCGAATCCTTCGCCAATTATCACCCACGGGCTTATTAACAACACTTTTAAAATTTAGATTTAGCATACGCCGTAAACCTCTAGAAGTATCATAAATCAAATTAATTAAAATAATTTTTATTCACTTATATGTAAGGTTTCAGGATCTTATATCCCATATTAAATCCCCCTAGGCGTCTGAAAAGAAGATGACCTCTTCTCACCTAGAATTAAATAGGGAGTGCTACCACTGGGCAGCATCTCTTCAAGTCTGTTCATGTCATGATTTCTAATGTCTGCATTTTTACTAGTTGTATTGTTTATACAGTTGTAAATTTCATTAAATAAATAAAAATAAAAAAAAATATATCCCATTTTCGGACCATTATCTTTATATCCTCTCATTTATCCATAAGATTTGTCATTATTTTAAAGTTAATTTAAAATGGACAATTATTTAACATTAATTAATTTGTATAATCAATCGAACGATTAATTAGAATGGTCTGAAGATGGGATATAAAATCTCTAAACGACATGTATGAGTAAATAAAAAGGAGTTTCGGGAGAGAATAGCTCTTGGATTTTCATATATTTCATTTGTAATATTGTTTTTACTCATATTGCCTTAATTGATGAAACGTGTTGACTGTTCACCTGTATGTTAGAGACTAGTGGCTTTACAGTTTGGATTTTTCCATCTGTACGAGTATGATTGATTATGATATATTTTATTACCTTCTCATATATATGTATTTTCATATATTTGATTTCAATAAACACGATGGTTTTAAATTTTTATTACAGCTGCTTTTATAATCGTATTACAAGTAAAGAAAATTCCGTTTGTTCTATAGATTATTATGAAAAAATAAATTTATTTGTTTCTCTGGATAGCATCTGAGAGATAAACCGAATCTAGAGTGGGATATGTACGTTAAGACTGATATTGCGGGTTTAGTTAAGACGATTCTCAATCGTTCAGGTTTGAGTGCAAATGTTATAATTCCGGATGAATAAATTATTCAATTTATTTGACATCCACTTATTTTTAGAATTTTTTTTGTAGTTTGAAGGCGTCAACCACCAGGGTCATCATCGCCTTATTTCATCAAGTATTAAATTTCACTGTCCAATTTCGCAAGTTTCAGGAAATGAAAGAGTTTGTCAACGTTATTTGTATGCAGAAATAGATCAAACATTTCCAAACAGTATTTAATTCATAGTTTGATTTTTACTTACAAAATCTGAAAAAAAGGACAATTGATTTAACATAAAATTTTAACTTTTAATCTAATTTGCTATCCTAAAACAAAAAAAAGTCTGCCAAGTAAGGTCAGTATAGCTTCCTCACCGTTTCCGTTGTATATTACAAGGTATACAATTTTTCGTATGTGAATAAAATCTCTGAGAGAAGCAGAATCGGAATAGCCGATTATAGTTACCCTTCAACATTCAACAAAAGAGTGTCGTATTTGAAGATTCCATACTTGATTATGCTTAATAAAAAAAACAAAAAAAAAAAAAAAAATGCATACTGAACATGAATTTCAATACTGTTTGTGCAAAAGATCTTACGTAAAAATTTATTTATTGTTTTACAAGAGTGCATACAAACTCATTATTTCTTTATGCTTTATTAGAATAGTTTCATATTTTATTGTCATCTGCTATTTTCCATAGTAGCAGACTACTTATATCAGTTGCAGACTACAAGATGTCACCATTAATACACATAGAATTAAAGTTGAAAATTTTTACATTCGAACTTTCGTTCTGATAATAGTGATATACACTACCGGATCCAGATTTAATTTTGGGGGAGGTGCTTCAGCCCGAAAGATTTTATATATATACATATATAACGATAATTAATTTTTAAAAAATCCACTGCAAATTATTTCACTATGGTATATTATTTCCAAACAATTATACATATAAAGTAACATTAAATTAATAGTTATAAAGAAAAATAAATAAAAGGTGATTCCAATAATTGGACTAAACTTTTTTTTAATCATTAATAATATGCTAAAAAATAGCATTACTTCAGTAGCACATTCAAAAATCAAAACAAAAGATAAACTTTTGCAATAGCACATCTAAAAAAAAAAAAAAAAAAAAAAAAAAAAAACTAGAGACCTAAAAAAAACTAGCTCCTAATTGTCCGATTTTAACGATTTTTTTTTCTTTTTTAGGAAATTCCGCAAACTTTTAAAAAACTAATACAATATTGGTTATAAAAATGTGTATACTTCTTGAGTTATTCGGAATTTAATTTTACCATCCGTCGTAACTTTTTTTGAGCTTCTTTTCGTTGAAGTATGTTATATAGATAAATATAAAGAGCGTAGAGAAAATGACTTTAGCGAAGTTTCATTAAAATCGGTACAATCGTTTAGGCGCTACAGTCTATAGCAACGCAGGTTTTTCGGCCGCCATGTTGAAACAAGAAGGCGAATAGTAATGTCGTGTAAGGAGGATCATCCTCTGGTGATCTCTGATTTTATATCCAAATTCGAAAAAAATCGGTCCAGTAGTTTCTGAAAAATTGCGCGGACGGCGGACAGTGCACTAGTAATGCATATATAAGAGAAAGTGGTGGACAGATTTCAATAAAATTGACACTACGTTATTTTTTCACCAAAGTCTACCTTTTATCTAACTTTGGGCCAAATCGAACGAGCCCTTTCTGAAATATTGGCATATCTAAAAATATACGTTTGCGCGTGCGTAAGCGGAAGTGATAGATGGAATTTGATAAAATTGATATGGGACCATCTAGGTACCAATCAGCACAATCCCTGAAAATTCCATGATGATAAGATGAACGGTACTATGTGATATGCCTGTAACATCGATTTGACTACAGACAGACAGACAGACAGACACCGAACCAAATTTGATCCTTGATGTCTGAAACGTAAAACGCGAGCGAAAATTTTCGATTCTGAGCAAAAAAATTTTTTAAATCTCTTGCACGAACACAATGCTTCCCTACCTTCGGTAGTGAGGAAGCGATAGATAAATTTTAAATAAAGCATCTTAATCAAATAGAAAGGTATCCCATGTGGATTATCTTGTGGGGATAATGAAAATATAGAATTTAAATCCAGGTAAAATTTAAATTAATTTTATGTAATCAAGATCTTGAAATAAATACAGGCCTGACCCATAAAATATATTGCTAACAAGATCAAGCATTTAAATGGGTACTCATAGAAGGAATTATATTCCAATTTTAAACATTTCAGTAAATGATCAACTGGGAACAGAATGCGATCAATTATTTAAATGGGGGCCCTATTAGAATTCCAGAATTCTTTATTCCTCGATCGGATGAAATAGAGCGGTTGATGGCATACAAAACTCTAACAAGAAATTATCTCTGAAACGATTATTTCTTTATGAAAATTTAAATCGTTGATACGTAATTCCTCTCGTTTTATATTCTGCTCAGTAACTATTAAAAAAATCTTCATGAAACCAACTAATAATTTAACGTAGGTCAAGTTTGCGTGTGCGGTAAGCTTGCTTAATGTATCAAGATATATATTTTAACCACCCTTAAGAAAAAAGTAGTTAATATCAAAGAAACACTTATAAATTATAATGCAATGCACTCTCGCTCTTCTGTGAATTAATAAAATAATGACTCACCTTTAAGATTTCTTCAATGCAGGATTTGGAATTTCTAAAAAAAAAAAAACAATAATATAGAAATTATTAAATAAGAAAAAGATGAAATCAATATATGGAAATAAAAAAGTAAAAGTGATTGTGTAACTTTAGTAAATACAATAGATGTTCCGGAGTGGTAAGAAATACTAAATTTCTCTACAATATCTATAGTTGTAAAAAATTTTCCAATGATTTGTATAGTTAAATTACAATTAAGCATTGCTTTCAAATGGTGAAAAAGAAAACAGCATCTTTAATTCTTGGAAGCAGCTTTCAAGGAATTAAAAAAAAAAAATATTATTTATTTAATAAATGCATCTACCCATACTGAGTCATTAGCATACAACATTGCTTTTGATATATATAATATGGGGCTGTTATTATTTGGTAATGATATATTTTAATTTTTCCAACTCATGGATTTAACTTTTTCACTGTTGCAAATGTTGACACTTAACCACAATAATTTTTTTTTTTATGAATGTACACCAGGGTGTCGACAAAATCCCATATTTAACTTTACCAATACGAAAGATATTGGTATTGATTTTAAATTTTATTTAAGCCGAGTAAAATGTTATAGTAAAATTTTTGCAAATTAAAATAGTTTATCAAATTCTAATTTTTTTTTATTTCCAAATAATATTTGGGGATACCACATGATCCTCGCCCCTCCCGTAGAGATTTTGCAGAAGGTCTTAATTTTGCTGCTTATTAAACAAATATTAAGTAGAAGAAGAAATGTTTTTATGATACATTCATTGTGAAAATCTAGTAATTATCAGTTGTGTAAGTTCGGAATATCGTAGGTTACTAAGTCCTGAGATTTAATAACTTAAATTAACTTCTTATTAATAATTTAAAAAGAGAGACAGATAAAATAAGGATGTCACTATCACATGACATTTGTGAATCACAGACAAACGATAAGTCTTATCAAATCCTCTACCTAAACTACTGGAAACATTTGCATCGCATAGTTTAAATATTAAAAAACCAACAAACTTTCTGTCATTAATAAACTATCGAATGGCATGAGTTGAATATATTATTTTTTAAGAATTGATATTACAAGTTTTATTATGTTACTTCACAAGCCAAATCTAATAAAAAATATTTTTTCAAAATTTGGTAATGTGAGCGCATCACGCAACATTTAATTACTACCTTAATTTGAGTTGAAATGAGTTTTAAAATAAGAAATAAAATTTAAGAATATTATTTTAAACGTACATACAAACCTACCACAGTCAAATATAACCTTCCTGTGCATAATTTTTATTTTGATATGGAAAGAAGAAAATAAATTAAATGGATATTCCGTTTAGTGTTTGTGAAAACATTTATATTCTGTCCAGTTATATAAACAATAGAAATTGTTAACTATTGTACATCAATGATTAGTTAGTCGTATCTCTCGATTCTCTTCAATAACTGCATACGTTTGAGATTAGTTTGTCTGAAGTATGTTAGATTGTTAACAAAAAAAAAGTATGTTTTCAACCTAGAAAGATATTTCTCATCTTTCTGATTTAGATAATTATCAAATTCACTTATATTTTGTACTTAACATGTTTTATTTCTGCCAATAATGAGAAATCTTTGATTATTTCCAGTATAATTGTGAGAAAGAAATTTAAAAAATCCGGAATTTAAGTCTTGCCAGATTACTTTAATTAGGATAATATATACCTGACATTAAAGAACTTGTGAATATACACTTGTGAAATTGTGATTTTAGATAAAATCTTTTTCGAAAACATTGTAATAATGTGCGGCACACATGGGTAGTCTATTTAAGCGACAAGTTTGTTATAAACATTTCAGAGATGTACTAATCTTTTCTTTTTGAGCTAGGCTGTTCACAGACACAGAGGTAGTTTGTTATGATTGGGCCCATGAGACCTAAAGAAGTGTTGAGTTCCATTGTTAAGTTGGATTCGAAATTTTTCCCGATATAACGATAATGAAAAGTTTCCCTTACTATGTATTTCATAAATAGGAAATTGAAATTAAAAATGATAAACGTAGTTTTTAAGACGAGTTTGTTGGGAATTGATTTTGATAAAAAATAACAAAATTTTCTGTATTGCTTGCGTCAATAGATCCGTTTAAAGATAAATTAACACTCATCGATGTCACAATAATTAATTGGAACTAATCCATAAATCAATCATTTTTTCAGGAAACGGGCACTAGCGATGTTTTCATAGACATCTTAGAGTCGGTGTGGTCAGTACAGATCTCACTGAATTATGTCAATCGATATTTTATTTTATCACAACTTTATTTCCATTTCAACTAAATTTCATTCTTCATTGTATCTTTCGTTTAAATGATAAATTCACTTTTGTGTTTTGTATACTTCATTATATACATAATGCATTATATTCTAATGATACCATAACTCACTATGTCAGTTTTGATATGTTATTAGTTCTTTAATTTCTTTATCTGGTAATCTCTACTAGTTTAATGTCAACTGATATTTTATTTATTTTTTCATCCTGTACCAATTAAAATGTATATTTTGTTTATATTTTTAGGCCTGATGAAGACCTACAACGTAGGTCGAAACGGTGACAAAATCAATAAAATATTGTTACAATGTAAGTATTATATATTGGCCGCACCCCCGACCAACTCAATATAAAAAAAAATTTAACTCTCATATTTGTGAGTTAATATAATTTAATGGGATACCAAATATTATTGAATATAATGCACATTTTAAACTGATATATAGATCATTTCTCTAAGAAGGTTTATCGATTCTTGATCGACAATTATTGATTTTATTTAATCCTCCCATTGTCACTCCGGTGTGCCTTTCAAAGTATACTTCATCTCAGTCCCCCATCCATAACTCTTAATGATTCTATTGTCCCCTAATAGCGGAGTTGAGGGTATGAGTAATATCCTCTCAGATCACTATTGTTGGTTACTGTTCGCTACTTTAGGATAACTTATTATTTATGGATTAAAATAACTTTTCTTAGGAAAAAATAGTGTTCCAGAACGGATCAAATCTAATTTATTTTTTATTCACAATAATTCTACATATTCGGTGATTCCTTTTTCACGATGTAAACATTGTTACTTCTGTATAACTTGATAGTATTGTGATTCTTATAATAATTTTAAAATATAATTTGGTTCAATTAAAATTGGACAGACCGATTTTTACTTATTTCTGAGATTTATATTATAAATTTTATTCGATCACGAAGAATACAAATAAAATATCAATCATCGATAACCACTAAATTTTTAGTCTCGGTGGTTGTGCAAACGGAACAATTGGGTCAATAGATTTTCGCTCTCTATTTGATAGTCTGTGAAAACTTTTTTCAGCTTGTTTTGAGGTTTTTTTAAAAATGTTTTAAATTATTGGAATCAATCTATGATATGGTGAAGACACGTTCCCCTCAATGTTTGAAAACCGTCCATCCATTCTTCTCCATCAACAGTTTGAACGGTCCTGTATGTTTACCGCTGGCCACTTTTTTTTTCTGTTAAAATAAAAGGACCCAAGTTGACAAGTTGTCAATAAATAGTGTAGAACTAACAGCGAAAGAAAAAAACTATAATCTCCACCACCTAACCGAATTCTCAATATAAACTATCATATATAAAATTTATGTTCTAAGCATATGAGTTTCCTGTTGAGAATCACTTGCGATATTTTTAATATCAGAACCGTCTTATGATTAGATTAATTAGAGTGACAATAGTTCTTTTCTAGAGTCAGCAATAGTCTATCGGGTTCATTGATTTGGCTAATTTCAAATGTAAACGAACTCACTAATTTTTAGTCTTTTGTAATAAACAATATATCATTTTCCGATTCGTTTTATTTTAGTCGAGACTTTTTTTTTTTTACTTCAAACATTTTTTTATTCAATTACATTATATTTGTTCACTATTAAGGACATTAGTAATAGTGATACAGGAGTGTTGTTCAATTAATGATAAAAAATTAGTCGTTATTCATGATTGATGATTTTGTTTTGTAACTAGAAATTTATTAAACAATCGTCAATGGAATAACTTCCCCACAACTCTGTTCAAAAAGAAATCAAGGCGAATGTTTAAAAAATCTATTTTCAGGTTCATTGATTTTTTTTTTAATTCATATAATGTTGACGGAAATATACGTGTATGTTCTCCGTTTACCAAGAGTCCAAGCCTTATTTCAATCAGTCATTTTCAAAAACTTATTTTCTTTGTTGACATAGACAATTGACATTATAGGTTATTGTATTTTGAGTACAAAATAAAGTAGGTTTTACAGACTGTCTACAAAAAAAACCCTAATCGAATTAGCATACAAACATGAGACAAATTCCTGGCCCTTCGACATTTATGTAGAGCCACGACCACTTTAGAACACTTCGATTTTACGACCCTGCAATCTAAGGTCATTGTGCGGCTCCTCCTCGAGGGTTTTAGCATATCTGGAGAGTGATAGCGTTTTCCAACGAAAAGATTAAGCGCGAGACGACGCCTTGGAAGAGCGGGCAGTCGATATGGGAGGCACGAAACACTGTTTAGCATACCGGGGGGTGAATGTCCATTTGCTGGTCCCATGGAAACTCCATGGCTGCCACGGTTAACAGACAGTTACTCATTTAAGGGGTGGGATGATGCCAATGTCATGTTGACCAATTCCTCGTCCAATGTAAAAACCAATGTTCATAAAGTATAATGATTTATTGATGAGTTTAATTATTGAAGCCCATTGATTAAAATCTATTTATTAAAAGTAACATGAATTCCAAAAAAGATATAGGTGAATAATGAACTCAACATTGTTGAGATAGCTTTAAATTTATAAATAATTATCAGCAACAAAAATAATATAGAGTTACAGGTTTTATCTGATTCTTTTATTTACTAATATTGCGGATGGTCGGGAAAAAAAGAAATAATTGAAGACAATTTTTTTCTTTTACTTTATTCTTTTATTTTAGTTCTGGAATTATTTTACCAAGTACTTTTTGACTTATTTGA